TTTTGAAGAATGCTGATAACCGTTGACGTCCATAGAATTTGTTTTTCCTACTATGCATGTCAATGATTACAGTTTATCAGCTTTTTTCAAAAGATCTGCAGACAAAAGAAACATGTAAAGTTTTATAACTACTTGAGGATGAGTACATTTTAGGTGAACTATCCTTTTAAGATTCTGTTTTATTAGTTACTATACGTGTATTTAATCTGTTGATCATGACAAGTCTTCTGTGTGAACGATCACATTTCGCCATTCTCGTCTGACCTCACATTTTACGCAAACTGATGTTTGAGGTTTATGAATCGATTTGTAATCGCAATTAATTATAGGCTTGGCATAAGATGCAGAACGATGCTCAATGCAAGCCGCGGTTACATCAGACATGAATTATCTAATCTTTACTTGAAGTCATCTTCATGATGCCACACCACATACCCTTACAAAAACTACCCACATTTACCAGTCTCACAAAAATCCTTCACTTAAAAAAAAAAAAAAAAACTTAAGCTATCTGTGTTCGGAAGGTCTGCTTATAAATCTTATCCAAAATTGCATTGATTTTATATAACATGATATGCAGTACCACTATTAAACATCATAAAAAATCCTACAATACCAAGTAGTTCTGCAAAAAGTAACACAATTTAATCTGATATTGCAGGGTTTACACATTTGTGTACTGAATAATGCAGTGTGTGCTTTCAGTCTGAGATTAGAAAATCTGAGGCTTGTAATGGTCATTAAACCAAAGGTTACAGCAAACAAGAGTTTATATGGTTAGGTGTGTACATCACCCACCGCATTTGAGTCGTGTTGAGAGAAATATGTTTGTGCTATACCAGTTTGTGTGTCTGAGGAAGTTTTAGGTAAATATCTTGTTTGTTAAAGTAAGGCCAGCGCCATTTTAAATGTATATATATATTTATTTATATGACACTCAATTTAACTCATCTCAAGTTCTAGAGAAAGTTAAAGGAAGTTTTTTTTTTCCTCTTTCTTCTGGTCATTACCTAACACCTTCATAAGAGAGTTCAAAGATGACCACTAATGGACACACAAAACCCCCGGTCCCTTACCTTCACAGCTTCTCACAGATCCTCGTCCGGTCACCCAGATTAGACATGACGAAGGATGCTCTTCATTACAGGAACCAGCCGATTGTCCACACATCAAACCCTTGTCTTTCTGTGTGTGACCCCGAGCGCCTCACCTGCTGCGCAGTGTTGATTAAAAGCTCTCCACTCTGACTCGTGGCTTCTCTTTGGTGTGAAGTGTGATTAAAAGTTAGAGGCTGTCTGTTCGCCTCTTTATGAGATCAGCCCACATGCCCCTGTCTGTGTTTTAACACCGAGCCGATGGGTCTACACCATGGCCCACATGTCCCTCACATACGTCTTTCAGTGGGTGTGTGATTGTGTGCTTATGAAAAAAAAGGTGTCTTGCTGATTGTTCCGATGAGACATTCTGAAGGTCAGATAATTGTCTCCTTTCACCCTTGACCTGGTCTTTATTGCTCATCTTCAGATATTTACTTAAGATATGAAGGCTTTAAATGGAAAATTAAGGAGAGTTAAGAAAGTTTGATGTGTTTTGGAAATATCTAAAGTGATCTAAATAAGGCACTTGTGCACATTGCCAGGTTGGTTGTCAAATCTTATATTTACAATAATGGTAAATTCATGTTTTTCTTCAATATCTTCAGTCTTAAAAGATTCATTAAGGTCTCTGCTTATTGTGTTAATCTCATTTGTTTGGGGATGTTACCCCACTTAAAGCAATACAAATACTTATTTTTTATGATAATTATAACAACAAAACGCTTAAAACAGTTGTCAGGTGGCTGATGTGGTGGGTAGTCTGCACCTTCTGGGCATTCTTAAGGACAGGGCGCCCTCTGCTGGATACTCATAATGTTTGTATTTCATTCGTTTAAATAGCCTTCAGTACGTAGACTAATTTGAGTTTCTTGTCCTGCACTCTTAAAAACGTAATAATTTAATGTTTAATTTAATAATTGTCAATGTTCAGTAAAAAAAAAAAAAAAAACAGATTAGAAAATGTCACTTCGAAACCTACCTAGAAGTCAAATCTCGATGAATATTTACAAGCATTTGCTATTTTCTTAATCCTTTATAAACAACCGTAGCCGACTAAAACTTTTTATTTATTTATTTATTTTATTATTATTGGTAGTAGTAGTAGAAGGAGGAGGAGTAGGCTAGTAGGCTAATATTTTACCAGCGTTGCGCGCGCACTTTCGTGTTTAGTCTTATCTGTTTGTGAGAGGAGTTTTGTTAACGGCTCTGTTGACACACTATATTGAACATGATATGTTGGAAAATTGCGTTGTCCGTGTTGTTTGTATCTTTCGTGATGTGTACTATATCTCTGACGTAGAGATGTTATTCTCTAGCATATAAATGAGTACACCTCTCACAAATCTCGCTTTTTTCAGGTGATGAATTCAGTGATTTCACTTTTATAGCACAGAATGGGTTATTTTTATCACTTGAAACATGAAATTACTGCATTTCAGTAAACGAGGCTAAGAAAAATGCTCATTGTAAATTACAAATGGTTACAAATTACAGAGGTTTTTGCATCTGAACTCTTCATATGCAATGCAATATAGCCTATGTTGTGTACTTACATTAGATTAGTCAGTACCAAAGACAAAACAGGAGTAAATTTAACAAAATCGCAGTCTAAAAAAATAGTTTAAACGCCCAAATCAATGTGTAAGGGGAACATTTTAAATGTAAAATTAAATTGTAAAGACAAAACTGGTGAAAATTTGTAGTTTGTATCACGTTTGATTGCATCACATTTGAATTTCAGTTTATTAAATTTCTACTACTGATGATGTTTTGAGACCAAATTAGTTTTAAATATAACTGTAAAGAAGATATGGTATAAAAAAATAAGTTAAAAGGTTGTAGTTTTAGTGTGTGTGTGTGTATATATATAGTTAGAACAGGATTAACTTAGTTTAATAAGTTACAATGACCTAAAACATATGCTGTCAGAACTAATTGACTGTATAATTTTTTGTATAAACTCCTGATGATGTTAGAAGACCAAATTCGTGTTTTATTGAATATAACTGTTTAAAAAACTGTCTACATTCAATGAGAAATTAACTTAAAAATGCATTAAAAGGTGATTGTTTTAATCAAAATTATTAGACCAGTTGACGCATGCATAAATATATAATATAACATTTGTAATTGATGTTACAGCATATTTATATTTGTATAACAGGGGCAATAAATGCAACTAGTTGTTCCACAGTTCACATTGTTTTTTTTTTTTTCAGAAAAGCTATGCTTTCCAATGCAATTTATAACCAAGCTAAACCCATTAAGTGCTTCCAAACACTTTAAATATATATATATATATATATATATATATATATATATATATATATATATATATATATATATATATATATATATATATATATATATATGCACAAATGTATGGAGGCACTTTCAAGAAGGTCCTACTGTAGGTCATTCTTGCTTTGTCCAGTGTGTCAGAATAACTCTAAATGTTAATGAGATATAATATTTTACAGTCTAATATATATAACAAAGCGAAATTATTAAACCAAAAAAAGAAAAGAAAAGAGCATGAGCTGTGTTGATGTATTTACACCTCTAAAATTATCTTCATTCACACTTCACACACTTGAGTACATGTACATCCACACAAATTAAGTGTGAAGATGTGGTTTTTCAAGCCCGAGTCATATATCGGATAAATTTAACCTAACCTAAAACTTCATTTATGACCATGTGTCATACTCAATCATGAGCATTTTAATCATTTATTTCATGTATAGCACATATTTATCAGCACAGAGTCAGTTAATGAATTGTTAATTGTCATTGAAAATTCCATAAATTTAAATGTGAAGCAGTTTCAGTTTAGTGATCAGCAACAAATAAGAGTGTTCTGCTGTTACTGTGTGTGTTGCAGCAGCCATAAAATAATTTTAAATGAATGTCCCTGTAAAGTAATATCATGTCACAAGCAATGTGAATACTAATAATAATTTTAATTAAGCAATTAATGATATATCTGATTCAAGTATTGAAATGTACACTATATATATATATATATATATATATATATATATATATATATATATATATATATATATATATATATATATATATATATATATATACAGTGTGTGTGTGTGTGTGTGTGTGTGTGTGTGTGTGTGTGTGTGTGTGTGTGTGTGTGTGTGTTTGTGTGTGTGTGTGTGTGTGTGTGTGTGTGTATAAAAAAAGTTCAGATGCAAAAACATAAGTGCCATCTAAAAAAATTTTTTCTAATATTAGCATTTTTCTCAGGCTCCCATGCCTTGGTTCAGTAATTTCACTTTTATGGCAAAGAATGTTTTTTTAAATTGCTTTTAACATGAAATGATTGAACATAAACAAAAGAGGCTGAGAAAAATGCTCATTGTAGAAGAAAATTACAGAAGGCACATAGAGGTTTTTGCATCTGAACTCTTCATTTATATACAGTTAAAGTCACATTTCTAAACATATTACTTTTAATAACTCATTTCTAATAATAATAATGATTTATTTTATCTTTGCCATGATGACAGTAAATCATATTTTACTAGATAGTTTTCAAGATACTTCTATACAGCTTAAAGTGACATTTAAAGACTTAACTAGGTTAATTAGGTTGACTAGACAGGTTAGGGCAATTGGGCAAGTTATTGTATAATGATGGTTTGTTCTGTAGACTTATGAAAAAAATATTTAGCTTAAAGAGGCTATTAATATTGACCCTAAAGTGTTGTTAAAAAATAAAAACTGCTTTTATTCTTATTTAATAAAACAAATAAGACTTTTTCTAGATGAAAAAATATTATCAGATATACTGTGAAAATTTCCTTGCTCTGTTAAACATCATTTGGGAAATATTTAAAGAAGAAAAAAGTTCAAAGGGATTAAATAATTCTGACTTCAACTGTATATACATATATATACTGTATAGTGTAGATTTTGAAACTTGAATCTGATTTAAATCCAATCAAACAAATGGCCGTTATGACGATAAAACGATTATTTACTTTTATTACAATTGGACAACATCTTCATATTTGCTACATAGACATATGCAAGTTCATCATTTAATAAGCTGAAAGAAGTTTTAACTTGCAAATCACTACATGAAGCATAGCTAATATGGACAGTTCACCTAAAAATTACAGTGTTTACATAATTTACCTTCATGTCACTTTTAATGTGTGTGATTGTCTTGTACATATTTTGAAAATTGTTTTTGTACATACCAAACAGGTCAGTGGGGTCTACAACCAACTGATTGGTTGGACTAACAATTTATATGGACAAAAAAATAATAATAAATGAGACATTTTAATGTTATGAAAATCATAAACTTTTGGAATGATGTGAGTGTGAGTAAAAGATGATGGAAGCTTCATTTTATTGGGGGTGAACTATCAATTAAAGATATATTTAGGCCAAATCTGAAAATAATTATTTAACACTTCACTTAAGCCTTTTCAAGTTTCTTTCTTCTGTTGAGCATAGAGATATTTTGAAAAAATGTTGGAAACTTATTACCACTGACCCTGTTAAAAGTTTCTAACATGTTCCTTTGTTGTGTTCAACAGAAGAAACTCATAAAGGTAGGGAACCACTTTAATTTGGGGTTAACTACAGTATGCCTTTAAAAGCCGTCTATTATCACAGTAATATAGAAAAGATAACTGTTCAGGCAACATTATTGCCGATTAAGAGTTCTCTGGGCAAAATATTCTTCTGAGCTGCCCTGAGATCTCAGCAGACAGCATGCTATACCTGCCGTTGAAGTTCCAGAGAGACTTTACTCCATTAAGAGATCCATCGGTATCTCGCAGCGACATAGGGAAGGACGACGGCCAGCTGGGGTGAAGGGGAGACGGACGCAAAGACGACGAGCCCCAGGGTAACATCTGGCTGTTGTTCTGGCTGGCAGAGTGGCTCAGGCCTGGTAACAACTGGGGAGGGGGCGGTGAAGCCGCAGATGCTTTTTGGGCAGGAAACAATTGTGGGTGGCTCGGTGGGTCGTTGCTTGAAGAGACCTGTGGGTGAGATGCTGGATTCGCCTCTACTGGGTCAACAATGTTGTCCAAATGGCCAACCTGTGAAGGTAGGTTTGCACTTTTAGGAGGCACCCTCAAGGGCGAGATGAATGGAGATGAGCTGTGCTGTGACCAAGAGGAGTACAGATCTGGGACTTCAGCTGGAAGAGGAGCAGCACTGGTAGCCAAACCCCACAGGGAAGGCTTGAGATGGGACATAACAGGATAGGGAAAGGGCATGATGGGATGATTGACATCCAGACTTCGTGCGATTCCCATGTGATACTGCAGACTCAGCACCTCAGCCCTGAGCTGGGCATTCTCTTCGCTCAGCGCCAGAAGCTGTCCCTCCAGCATGAAGTCATTGAGTCGACGCTTCTCTCTGGACCGTTTGGCAGCCTCGTTGTTCTTCTTTCGCTTGACCCAATATGACGCGTCTTTTTTCTCTGAGGGGGTCATCTCACGTTTACGCCGTCTGCTGGTAATGAGTGGATTACGGTATGACTGGAAGTGGAAGAGTCGCCTTGCCAGTGTGGACGAGCCGGTGAGCGGAAGACGCCTCCTTAGATTTCCGGGTTCGTCTTTGCTGACTGAGATCTCACCAGTGGAGGAAGGAAGACAAGCGTCTGCTAGAGGCTCTGGACTTCTGCTGGTACTCATTGTTCTGGTGAGACATAGAACATCACGATCAGTAGGCCCCAATACTTTGATATATCCAACTTTTTGTTTTGATAAATACAGAGATCATGTAATTAATTTGTTTCTATGATTACTAATAATGCTAGAATTAGGAAGCTTACCATTTATTATAACCTAAATTTGTGATCACTCACTACAGTTTCAGAACTAGAGTAAAAATAAACGTGAGAAATTTGTCACCCTACCAAGGAAGCACATAGGACAAATTATATTTTTAAATGTGTAAAATGATGTCTACGACAAGAACACGTCGGGCTCGCGCTTAGCGATGCTTGGTTAGATCTGATGCACACAACCTACCGCAACTGAAGAAATCGACCATGAATAAAAGATCTTAGATATTCACCTGCTAAAATCTAGGCAATTTGTAGGTCATTTGATCTGCTTTTTTAAAACGACGCACTTTGGTTCAGTAACTATCAAAACCACATCACATCAAGCCACAACATCGTCTTCATATCTATCGATCTAGAATTAAATTTCTGCATGTTTGACCTTAGTTTTAAGTTTGCATACAGAATACTAAACCAGAATCTAAAGTCTAAACTGAAGACAGCTGTCACAAGAAACATTCACTGTACCTTACCGTGCACTGCTGCCACAGGAGGGATGCTGGAGTGACACTGAATTTAAAGGACATCAGCTTAAAGGTAGAGCTTTTAGACTGGAAACATGCAAAGAGTCGCACTCTGCCGACCAATGACTGTCAAGGTGGCAAATGCCTATTGCATGAAAGGAGCAGTAGTAGGTGAGGACCACGTCTTCCTTCCTCAGTCTCAGAGGCGGAGACTTAAAAACAATTTTCTCTGTGTTTTGAGATGACTCACAGTTTTGTTTGTTCTACTTTTTGATTTGAAGAAATTCTGGCAGGTAGACTTAGCATCTGTTTGCGCTTTTATATATTCATGTGTTGATTTTAGCAATAATCTATTTTATTTATTAAATGGTTTTACTCGTGGATTCAGACAAAACTGGCACAATAATAACAAGACTAAACAATATACACTACTTAACAAAAGTCTTGTTGCCTATCCAAGTTTAGATTACACTTATTTTACCGAAATTAAATATGATCATGTCTTGATTTTTAATTATTTAATTAGGACAGTAAGGTCTGACTGCTCAGACAAAAGTCTTGCCACTTAACAGAAATAATGTACAGTATAGAATATAAAGTCATGCTGCAGTGGAAGAAGAATTATATTGTGTATGACTTCCATGCGCTTGAAGGACTGCATCCATACATCTCTGCAATGACTCAAGTAACTTAATAAAGTCATCTGGAATGACAAAGTAAGCATTCTTGCAGGACTCCCAGAGTTCATCAAGAGGCTTTGGATTCATTTTCAATGCCTCCCTCTTCATCTTACTCCAGACATGCTCAACAATGTTCATGTCTGGTGACTGGGCTGGTCAATCTTAGAGCACCTTGACATTCTTTGCTTTCAGGAACTGTTATGTGGAGGCTGTGCTATCCTGCTAAAGACTTTGCACTCTCCTGTGGTTTGTAATGTAATGGGCAGCACAAATGTTTTGATACCTCAGGCTGTTGAGGTTGCTATCTACTCTCTCACATGCCCCCACATCGAATGTAACCCAAACTATGATTATTCCTTCCCCAAACTTGATCATTTCTATGAGAATCAAGGGTCCATGAAGGTTCCAATAGGTTTTCTGTGTTATTTGTGATGATTGGGATGCAGTTCAACAGACGATTCATCTGAAAAAATCTACCTTCTGTCACTTTTCCAAATGTCAAGTTATTATTTGTTGCTCTTACATCTGGGATTGACGACAAGACTTTTGTCAGGTAGTCTATGTGCATAAAAACACAATTGTATTACTACTTCATAATTTAAATGGCATATGCAAGCATGGGCATGTGCACATAGTACAATATTCTTTTAATCATTCTGTTTCTAGATGATTGGTCAACATCTTCATTCACAATTTAATCATCCAACAGTCGCGTATCACTGCACCACACAATTCTCAACCATTGTAGCAACATCACAAACAATATAGTGCATATATTTTGTATATGTCAGCAAAATCACTAATCACAAGTCTAGAAGAGATACAGCTATGACTTAAAGTAAACAATTATTTCTACAACAAAATTGCTGCACAACATGTACAACTGTATTTACATTACTGTGAGATGTAGGTTTAGGGTTGGGCCTTGGCAGATGTTAATAAAATATAATTTAATGGTTAATTTAATAAATAATATAAATATTTTTGGTTATAATTATTGTTTTTACACTATTGTGGAGTGATAGGTTTAGGGTTAAGGGGTACATGTTGTTAAAATCCATTAATTTATTCATTAATTCATTAATTTTCTTTCAGATCCTTTTATTCATCAGGGGTTGCCACAGCGGAATGAACCGCAAACTTATCGAGCATATGTTTTACGCAGCGGAAGCCCTACCCTTTCACATATACACTACGGCCAATTTAGTTAATCCAATTCACCTACAGAGCATGTCTTTGGACTGCCAGAGAAATCTGTGCCTTGAGGAAACTCGACAGAAATGCCAACTGCCAGCTGGAACTCAAACTAGCGACCTTCTTGCTGTGAGGCGACAGTGCTTACCACTGAGCCATCATGCCACCCATTATTAAAATGCAATTAATGGGTTATTTAATCATTTTAGTTGTCTTCTGGCCACAACTGTATCCCTTCTAGCTACAGGTTTTTATGTATGGGGACAAATGATGTACCGTTTATGAATTTATGAATTAATATGTGTGTTGTATGACACACTATTTTCTTAGAAAGAAAACAATGGCTTTGCTGTGGTTTAATTTATATATTTTTTTGTGAAATTATAATGAGAGAACAGAAAAATGTCAGAATTCCTGACGTTATTTATTTGTATTGTGTATAAGTTTTGTTTATTACCCTCCCTCTGTATTCTGTATTATATTTCGCCTGTTATTGTATTATATATATGCTGTAAATAGTTTTATCTATGTATTAGTATTATACCCATTAGTATGAATAATAGTATGACAAAAAGCAAATGCAATCATCAAAGTACTCATCATTTCTTAGCAAACAAAATTCTTCAGAAAAAGCTAGCTCGTCAGACAACCCATAGTAAGAACCTCAGTAAACACTGAAACTGCTGATGGTTAAGATCACATAAAAAAGGTCTCAATTGTGGCTTAAAAGTACAGAAAAACAACAATGACTTGCGTGAAACAAATAGGTTTTTGCAGTGTCTACATTAGTTGGTTGGGGCTGTCCTTCCAAATTTCTGCAGAAAAACATGTTAGGGTTTTAGATTAGAGCTAAATCTTTTTCTGTATGAAGCACTGCTGATGTTTTGCAAAGAAATGCAGTCCTGCCATGTTATGCATCACCTAACTGAATTGGTTGCCTGATTGACTCATCCCAACCACACACCTAATCCTAACCCATATACTGGCGAATGAGAAGAGGCATAATCTAGCATTTTTTGGCACTACACAGCTTGGGCTGCAGACATAAACATTTACTCATAGTTGGCATGAAATCAAAATGTACTCTTCTTAGGGCTGGTTGATCAAATCTTGATCAAATTTTGATTAATTGAATATTTTGAACACAATGAACTCGATTACGATTAATGAACAAATATTTTATTTGTTTATTTTATGTTTTAGTCATAGTTCACTGACAGGTTTTGTACAGTAAATATGCTCACATATAAGAGAGATATGTGATTGTAGGGTTTATTACTTTATCTTTTTAAACAATTGAGCAAACAAACATACTATCTATTATCTATGATTCTTTATTGAACATCAGCGCTGAACAAATGAAATTAAAACACACATTGCTTAAAACGTGCCTCTTTGTACCCCCCACCCTCGTCACCAATAACAAACCAACCAATCACAAAGCATGCGCTATTCGTCGTTGTGATGTGTAGTTACATTTTTTGAGAGTATGCGAAGGCTGCTTCAGACCATACGCGTGAGCTTGGCAGAAGTATAATTCATTCATTCATTTTCTTTTCGGCTTAGTACTTTAATTAATCTGGGGTCGCCACAGCAGAATGAACCACCAACTTATCAAGTACATGTTTTAGCTTCAACCTATCTCTGTGAAACATCCATACACACTTATTTAGCCTACCCAAATCATCTGTACCGCATGTCTTTGAACTGTGTGAGAAACCGGAGCACCCGGAGGAAACCCACATGGAGAACATGCAAACTCCACACAGAAACGCCAACCGACCCAGCCGAGGCTCAAACCAGCGACCTTCTTGCTGTGAGGCGACAGCACTACCTACTGCGCAACTGCGCCGCCCTAGAAGTATAATACAGAGTAATATAATCAGTATACATTAGCCCTAACAGATTGGAGCCACATAACGCCACACAAAGTAGGGAAAGTAAATAAAAAATTGACCTTGAAAAAAATCTTCTTGTTTTTATAAGTATATAAAAGTTCTTGTTATGAACAATGCATTAGTGCAATTCCTTGTTTTGTAAAAATTCATTCCATATCTTCATATAATAACCTTCCCTCCCCCCTCAAAGCATCATTTCTGCACTTCTGGTCACATGGAATGCCTTTAGGTTGGGGCTATCAGTTCTGTTCAGCTTTCACAGGAGTAAAGGCTGATTTATACGTGTCGAGCGAACGCTGTGAACCACGGTACATGCCTTACACAAAATTGTGCATTTATACTTCTGTTTGTAGTTTGTGTTGCTCTGCAATAACACTTCCAAGACGTTGGCAATAGGTTTTTATGTTTCTTTTATGTTTCTTTGCAGGTGTTTTGTTTTTTCTGAAAACTATACCTTAGTGTACAAGTAGCTAAAACTCTCTTATTGAGAGGCGGAAATCAGCAGACGTGCATCAACTGAAATCATAAGTTAAACACAAAACAAAAGTTTCCATCTAGTGTTACTTCACAGGACTCAACACTTGTAAACATTCGCTCCAATGGGTTTGCGTGGCTCTCCATCCCACCCACACTGGTCACAGCTACCAAGCTGACCAATCACAGAGCTTGCCCTATGCGTCATTGCGACGTGTAGTTACAATTTTTTGAGAGGTGCCCATCAGCCACGACGAGGGCTATGGGACCTAGTAAAAGCTGCGCTGGAGCATATACTTACGCTAGATGCAGAAGTATAAATTAGCATTTAGTTCACTTTCTTTTGATGGTCCATTTGGCATGCTCCTACTGCTCCTACATGCTCCTTCAAGAGACATTCATTCAGTCATTTTCTTTTCGCTTAGTCTCTTTATTAATCTGGGGTCACCACAGCGGAATGAACCGCCAACTTATCAACACAGTAAACAAGTGTTTACTGCTAGTGAATCATCGATGCCCTTCCAGCCGCAACCCATCTCTGGGAAACAGCCACACATACACTACGGACAATTTAGTCTACCCAATTCACCGCATGTCTTTGGACTGTGGGGGAAACCGGAGTAAACTGCAAACTCCACGCAGAAAAGCCAACTGAGCCGAGGATCGAACCGGCGACCCAGCGACCTTCTTGCTGTGAGGCGAACGTGCTACCCGCTGCGCCACTGTGTCGGCCCCCTTCAAGAGACATTCAACTGATTATAAGAAACACAGCAAGTACATGTCAAATTACCCTAACACTAACCCTAAAACCAAACCCTAACCCCAACCCCACAGTCTACTTGTAATCTAATGAGAATTAGTTGGCGTGTAGATACAAAAAACTTAAATTCCACA